AATGAAATTGGAATAAAGAAATTTTTGATACTCATATACATAAATACAAAAATATTTTAAAAAGTACTGTTTTCATAAACATATAAGTTATTTATCAATTTGTATTGACTTAAACACATAAACACATAAGATATTTATAAACACATAAGGTATTCATAAACACATAAAGTATTTATCAATTTGCATTGGCTTAAATTTAGAGAATTAATTTATTTCAAGATTTTATTAATAACGCACAAGTCTATTAGCCAGGAAGCGCCAGCATCATTGTGTAATTTGATTCACTTCTCAACGATAGAGAGAACTCTGAAATTAAAAGAAACAAAATCCAGCAATCGTTTTGTTGATCAGGCGGTATCCCATTATGGTCCTAGACTTTGGAATATTCTTTCAAGTATCATTCGAGATGAAAAAAAACCCAACTATTTATAAGAAAAAACTAAAATCATATTTAATGGTGAATAGCGAACTGTTCCACAAGAAAACTCTAGAATATTAAAAATTATAAAGTAATATAATAATTTATTGCACAGCTGAGCAAGTGTTTTGCCAGCTTACCCTTTATTTGGGCAAAACACAGTAGCTGTGGGTAAACCCATGTATTTATTTATTTATTTTATAAGTTGTGGATCAGATATAATATTTATATATTACCTTATGTAATAAACTTCATATTCATTTTTAGAAGAATTTAAAAATATAAAAACATGTCTTAAAAAGATAAAACAATTTCTTTTAGTTTTTTCTTGAATGAAAGATAATTCCATTCATGGGAAAAATCAATATTTTTTAAAACTATTTTGTTCCAAAGAAATGCTCCTCAATATGAAATACATGACTTTCCAAAATAAAGTTTGCCGAGTTAGATTATCATTTCTTAGGTTATACTTATTTTTATCTTTTAAGGTATATAGATTATTAAAAGAAACTGGATATTCGTTGGTTTTACACTTAAACATAAAACAATATATTTTTAAAATATTTAGCTGATAAATATTAAGAATTTTCATTTGAAATAATAATGGTTTGGCATAAGCAAATCGATCTTTATAATTGATAAGACGAGCAACATGCTTCCGCTGACGATAAAGAGGTAGCGGTTTATTGGTATTAACCCAAGCAATATTTGCATAATTTATATGGCAATGGATTAAAGAGAAATATAATTGTGTTAAACTGTGTTTATTTAAAGCATTTCTAGGTTTGCACATTACTCCTATATTTCGAGCAATTTTGTTCCACTATGATACTTCTAACTAAGGTTTTCATCAATACTTATTCCTAAAAAGTTAGTAGTTTGTTCTCTTTTTATTTGAACTTTGTCAATAAAAAGTAAGGGCATGACAGGAGGTAGTTGCTTTTTTTTCAAGTTTAATGAAAAAAATATCGATTTAGTTTTCTCAACATTTAGTGACAGCTTATTCATTTTAAACCAGTCAGAAACATTTGTTAATTCAATGTTCATATTTTGGAATAATGTTGTTATGTTGTTAAAAATTTGTATCGTCGGCAAACATGACCGTCATTAAATTTGAGGCTTTGGGAAGATCATAAATATAAATTAAAAAGAGAAGAGGTTCTATTATATAACCTTGAGGGACCCCACATGTTATATCTAATAAATTGGAAGAGACAGTTGTATTACTGTAAACAAACTGTTTATGGTTGCTTAAATAACTTTTAAGAATCATTAAAATATTTCCTCTAATTCCATAATTCTCGATTTTTTTAAATAAGATTTTGTGGTTGATGGTATCAAAGGCTTTCGATAATTCTATGAAAACACCTAACGTATATAAGTCAACGTATATTGAGATTTTTCAAAAGATTAAGCAATATTGCGGATAGTTTGGAATTTAGCGTGTTCGGTTGAATTACTTTTTTTAAATACGAATTGATTTCGATACAGTATATTATTTGAAGATAAATGATTGAAAATTACATTATATAAATTCTCTCCAATTTTAGAAAAAACACGAAAAATTCAAATTGGGCGATAATTTTAAACATTGGTTGCATCACCCGCTTTAAATATTTTAGCCGATAATCTAAAAGTAGCCAGAGTTTCTGGCTATTTTTAGATTGTCGGGGAAAATACCCTTTTTTTTTTTTTAAAATTTGAAAATTTGAAATAGAATATCTTTAATGACTTTGTACGAGTCGATAATAACATTGCAATAAATATCATCATGACCAACTGATTTATTAGATTTAAGTTTTTTAAAAGAAAGTTCAAATTCCTCAAAGGATAACTCAAAGGAGTTTAAGAACGAAATTATTGTAAAAGCATAACTATTCATTTTGTTTTTCAAGATAGGAATTTGTTGGGCCACTTTAGGACCAACTGATACAAAATGATTTATTTAATTTGTCAGCTATTGCAATTTGATCATACGACGTTTCTTTGTTAATTTTAACAGCTTTAGACAATGCTCGTTTTAATTTCTGCACGCCAGTGAATTCTCTTAGAATTTCCCACGTACGTTTCGAAGATTATTTCTCTCAAGCAAATTAGAATAGTATTTTTTTTTTTTTTTCTGTCTTTTAAACTCTTTAGCGTGGTTTTTATAGAGAGCTTTATTTTAATCATTTTTTGTCTTTAAATATTTTATGTATAATTTTTGTTTAATTTTAGAGGATTTTCTTAGTTCTTTTGTGATCTATGGTGACATTAAACTTTTAGTTTTTTTATTTACTGTTTGTTTTGGAAAATTAGCATCGTATATTTCATAAAACGTTTTAAAAAACGTATTATAAAACTAAATTAGCGTCAGCACATGTATTTATTTGTTTCCAATGAAGATAAGATAATTGTTCTTTAAATGTTTTTAAATTAGCATTATAAAAAAATCGTTTTTTAAAAGTTAAGATATTATATCTGTGTCGATATTAATAGAGAAAAATATACGGAAGCAGTCAGAAACGTCACTTTTAATGATGCGATTTATTGAAAACATCAGTTGTTATAATATTGTCAATTAAGGTTTTTGACGTAGGAGTTATTCTTGTTGGTTTGTTGGGAAAAGCACCGAGTTCAATAGCGTACCGTTATGGGTATAAAAATAGAATTTTTTTTAGAAACGTAAGGCATTTTGGGATTGATATTCGGACAAACATTGCACAGAAACAAAAGAATTTCTTAAAAATGTTAGTGGTTGTGGGATTGATATTCGGACAAACAAACAATTTGATGTCACCATAAAGGTACGTTATTGACTCATTGTAACGCCATAATTAGTGAGGTATTGTTAACAATCTAAATTAATGTCATCCATTAAGTAATAAAAATTTTTTTCATGAGTGCTTTTTTTTTTAAATGTAATTTAAAAATATATTAAAATTTTCTACTCTGCCCGATATTGGGCGATAACAAAAACTTAATTAAATTTTTCTATGTTTGTTTTTGTTTAGATTTCAACTATTAAAACTTCATTATCGTCATCAGAATTGCTCATGTCATAATATACTGTAAACATTCTCTGATATAAACTATTAAACCACCGCCTCGCTTTCCATTTTTTCTATCTAAGGAAATTATATTAAAACCTGGTAAAAAAATACTTGAGTTCGAATTATTAGAGTTACACCAGGTTTCAGACATGCAATTAAATATTTTTAATAGAGATTCTTTTATGTTTAAATAGAAATTTTCAACATTTTTGATATGCTTCTTATGTTAATATGAAAAGTGTTAAAATATTTGCAATTTAGAAACTGTTTTATTTCGTCGGCATAGTAATAGGAGCATGTGCATCACTAAAGTAATTTATGTCCGGATCTGATTGGTTATTAATTAAACTCATTAGTTTCGAAAAAATTATAACTTAATTCAAAGTCGTTAGAATTATTGGAATCCATTTTACCCTTTTATAAAACCATAAAATAAAAAAATTTCCTTCATTCTCGCGTTATTAACTTATTATACAATTATTATACAACCTTATACATTATTGTACAACCTTAGCATATTAACCTTTTATTCGTAAATCTTTTGCAGCCGTAAAAATTTTTTCGCAATTCGGTTGTCCTTTCGCAGAAGTTTTTGTTCACATATATTCTTTGATTCCAAAGTTTCGTCTTTATATATTTACCAAGTACAGCTGATTTGTCTTTATAGTTTAAAAATTTGACCACGATAGTTCTGCATTTTTTAATTGTATCATCTTTATCATTTTTTCTAACTCTATGAGCACGTTCAATAATGAATTCACCTTGAAGAACAAGTTTTGTTTTTATTAATTTACGAACTTTACTTTCAAAATCGTCCCAACTTTTACCAACTGATTCTTCTATACCGGGTTCTTCTACTCCTACTTTGGTCTTCAATCTCATCCAATTTGTCTCTCTTATTAAGGGTTAAACTATTTTCTAGGTTTCTATCTGGTTTTGCGCATTCAGCTTTCGATCCTTCTTATTCAATTATTATTTTGTCGTATTTTTTGCTTATAAATTCAACAGCTTTTTTCAATTTGCTTACTTCAGTTTTAAGAATTTTTATTTTCATCATTAAACTTATCAATATGTTTTTCAATCTTTCAAATTTTTCATTAAATATTTTCATCATTGTGTTCTCATAAATGTCTAATATTTCTTTTAATTGTGAACTCGAAAAATTTATCGCTATTTTTATTTTGTAATAAAAAACACGTTTGTTCGCGGTGAAAGTGTTTTAAGGGTTCTATCAATTAATCATCCACTTGCATATTTCAAATATACTCTCGCAAATATACTTTAACATATTCTCTAAATATGTTAAAATATGTTAAAATATGTTAAAATATGTTAAAGTAGAAAAAAATAGTTTGATACTCCCCATTTTAAGTTAAATATAAAAAGTTTTTTTAAATGGTCCAAAATAATAAGTTGTAACGTGTGGTATTTGCAGACCTCAATTATAATTACTATAAAATGTGTCACAAATAATGAAATAAAAGCCAAAAAATTATGTAACTCAATAAATTAAAGTGCTTTACAAATCTGATAATTATTTAAAATTTTAGTTTCCACAACTTCTATATTACTATTGGCACAAATAAATGTATCTGTAGCATCGATAACCCAAGTAAATGGCTCGTCATTACTTGAAAAACTACGCGAGGAAATCTCAAGCACATCTCAAGTTAATGTATTTAGTCTTTCTTCAAGTCAAACAGTTGAAATAATTAGATGTACAACTTTGATTAGATCTTTTTGTAATTCTTTTATACCAAATGAAAATAGTTCAAAAACATATAGTTCGATATTATTTTTTCCATCAACAACCCAAGTAAATGACTCACCATTATTTGAAACACAACTTGAAAAAATAACCACAAATCAAATTACTTTATATAAAAGTCAACCAGTTGCAATTGATATATCCTATATTACACCTTCAATCACTTCAATTGGCATTTTAAAAAATGAAGAAAGTTCTAAGTCACAAGATTTGAGTCCTAGAATATATAGTCACTCATCATCATTCAACACACAAAACAAAATCTCAGACCTACACATACTAAACAAAACAATCTCAAGCACACATGCACTAAACAAAATCTCAGGCTTATCTCAAATTAATGTTTTTACTACCTTTTTAACTAAAACACTTGAAACAAATGGATGTTTTTCTTTGTTCTCGATTTTTTGTACCCCAATATTTAGTACACCTTTATATACTTCAAGCTCCTTATTACAAAGTGAAAGAAATTATAAATCACAAGGTTTGAGTCCGAGATTAAATAGTTTAACAGTATTTAGTAAATCGATAACCCACGTAGATGATTCGACATCTTTTAGCATTATAGACAATATAATCTCAAGCACATCTCAAATTTATATTTCTGAAGTATTTTCAAGTCAAAAAAATGAAATAATTGAAAGCAGTGAGATTTTGACTTCGTCATTTTTCTATAGTAAAATCTATAGTTCAACTTCTACTACTTCAAGTTCCCTTGCACCAAATGAAAGTTATTGTAAAATACAAGTTTCGAGTCCGAGAGTGTATAGTTCAACAGTATTTAGTGTACCAATAACCCAAGGACGTGACTCGTCATTATTTAACTCACTAAGCAAGCATATCTCAAGCAATTCTCCAGTTTATGTATTAACTGTATCTTCAAGTCAAAAAATTGAAATAATTGAAAGTAGTGAGATTTTAACTTCGTCATTTTTTTATAGTCAAACCCATAGTACACCTTCAATTAACTCAAGCTCCTTTGCACTAAATAAAAGTTATTATAAAGCACAAACTTTGAGTCTGAGAGTATATAGTACAATTAAATATAGTGAATCAAGTTCTATTAAAAATTTTATTGTTGATATTAACAAAATGAAAGAAGATAAAAAATCTCCAAGACTAGCATCCTGGATAATTGTGTTGATTGTTGTATCAGTCTTTTTAATTACTATGGTAATAGTAATCTTGTTAAAAAAAGTAAGTTCTTTGTTTTATGCATGCACACACACACAGATATATATATATATATATATATATATATATATATATATATATATATATATATATATATATATATATATATATATATATATATATATATATATATATATATATATATATATATATATATATGTATATATATATATATATATATATATATATATATATGTATATATATATATATATATATATATATATATATATATATATATATATACATATATATATATATACATATATATATATATATATATATATGTATATATATATATATATATATATATATATATATATATATATATATATATATATATATATATATATATATATATATATATATATATATGTATATATATATATATATATATATATATATATATATATATATATCCTATATATATATATATATATATAGGATATATATATATATATCCTATATATATATATATATATATATATATCCTATATATATATATATATATAGGATATATATATATATATATAGGATATATATATATATATATCCTATATATATATATATATATATATATATATCCTATATATATATATATATATCCAGGTTGTTTTTTTTTAATATTCTCAGCCAATTATTAATTAAGAAAAAAACACAACTTTGAATAAGAAAAACACAAAATCTCTTCTGAAATTAAACAACAAACTCAAGTAATCAAAAGATTACTTAGAAGAAAGTGCAATAAAGTTTAAACGCACCTACAACTTCTTTTAATCGAAATATATTAATATGGAAAATGACCCCCGTTGTTTTTAATACATGCTTGTTTTCGCCTTGGCATTGATTCGATTAAGTTTTCAATCATCTTGATTGGTATTTCAATCCACAGTTTGGTCAGTTCTTGTTTGAGCATTTCATGACAAGATATTTGCTTTTTTGTTAGTTGATAATCCATCCAGCTCCTTATATTTTCAATCGGGTTTAAGTCTGGTGATCGTGCTGGCTAAGACCTAAGGCCTCCATTGTCTTGTTGAAATAACCAGTTTTGATCAGCCTGGAACAAATCGCGACTAGGGATAAGCGCGTTTTCCAAAATGTCACGATACTCATACTGGTTTAATCTTCCTTCGTATATTTTATGACAGCCAACGCCTGAGCCTGATACACATCCCCATATGCCGACGGAACCACCGCCTTTTTGAATACGGCTTAGTAGGTGTTGCTTCAAATGTTTTTCTGTATTTTTGCGACAAATCTCTTGTTTTTTCTGTTAATAATTTCGAAATTTGATTCATTGCTAAGGGTAATCATTTTCCATTGTTCTACTGAATAATTTAAACGCTCTTTGCACCATTTTTTTCGTCTTTGGCGATCGGTTAACGTCAACAAAGGCTTTCTTACGCAATGAAACGAATTTAATTCTTTCTTGCGTAATAACTTACTTATAGTCATTCGACTAACTGTTTTGTCTACTAGCGAACTATTGATTTCTGCACTTAAAGTTGATACTCCCGCTTTTGGGTTACGTCAGCTTAGCATGTAAAGCATGTTTCATCGCGTGCTGTCAGTTTTTTCGGACGCCCAGTACGAGGATTATCATTAACACTACCAGTTGATAAATAATTTTTTATTGTTGTACGAACGCTGCATTCAGAAATATTTAGGCGTCTGCCGATTTTTCTATTGCTTATTTCATAGTCATAATAACAGATAGTCTGGCCAGTTGGGCCGTTTTCGCAAGATTCTTTTGTTTTCAAACAATCAATGTTAAAAATTTGAATTTATGTTGAAAACTGTTTATTTATCGTGCCCAGACTACTAATAAGTGCACAAAAATCTAAAAAATGGCGAAATCAGCAGACGAACAATCCATTGATCATCTCATATTAGATCTAGAGTCAGATATTTTTTTCGCTCTTTGAAGTTGACGCTCTTCTTAGTGAAATTGAGAATGGAAATTCTTTAATCAGTTTTAATTGCCAGCAGTGTGTTAAAAAATGTAAATCAGAGAAAGGGCTCAAGCGCCACATAACAGCTCAACACTCAAATAGTGACACACTAACACAGCCATTAAATCCAACAACTAATGTTAAACAAATGTGTTCTGTAGATGAGTTCAAAACTTTTGTTATAAAAAGCATTTACATTCTTAAAAACGATCTTTGCTACCCTCCATGTATTAGAGATGAACTTTCAAAATACATATTCTCAGAAGATGATGCAAAACATTCATTTGAATTAATAAAAGATGTTATTAAGAATTTTAATGGTGACGCAGAAGTTTTTTATCCAAAGTTTTACAAAGTTGCTGGTCAGAAAGCATTTTTGAAAAATCTTACAGATAAAACCTCAACTCTTGTTGAATATGACCTTGCTAATCATATTTTGGCTCACTTAACGAAATCTAAAAACGCAACCTCGATTTTAGTTTTTGACAATGCAATTCAGTTTACAGAAAAAGAAAAAACGTTAATTGAATATTTAGGAGGGTATGTATTTAGTACCTTTTATCGAAGGATACGTTATTCAAAAATTTGGCAAAGTAGATTTGGTCAAGAAACACTTTTAATTTTGTTGGCTGGAAAAATTGTAGAAAATGAATTTGAAGAGTATGAAACTAATAGAAAATTTATTAATTTAAAAAATCGAGGTGGTCTTTGGTCTATATCATCTGATGATTTTTCACTGTTTAGAATAGCAGAAATAGCATTCAGAAAATCAACAAAAATTTTGAGTAAAAATATTGACTGCAGCAAGATGACAACAGAATTGCTTCAAGATGTTGAGGTTTTATCTTACTTTTCAAAAATTTGTTATGCTAGTTCTGCTAACGTATCTACAGAAATGTCTCTCAATCGTCTAGACCACCTTTTAACACTTTATTTTCGTGTTCGCTCGTTTTCCTATTCCAAGGAGCTTGTAAACTTGCATAAAATCAACACTAAGAAGAAAAGAGCAAATTCAAAGAAAAGAAATCAAAAAAATATCTTTAAACTTTACTGAATAAAGATTAGACATTTAAAAAAGGCTATTTTCATAGCCACAAATTTTATTAAAAACATATCTAGCATATGAACTATATTGCAGCACAATGGAGAGATGTAATATGTAATTAAGTAATAATATCAAATAATGCAATCATTATTGACAGCAATCTTTTCTTTCATTATTCTTCATTTTTCATTTTTTTCTGAAAACTTAAAGCGCACATTTATATAATTAAAGCGCACAAATGATATGACCTAATATATAGATTGAGTATTATATATATATATATATATATATATATATATATATATATATATATATATATATATATATATATATATATATATATATATATATTATATATATATATATATATATATATATATATATATATATATATATATATATATATATATATATATATATTTATGAGAGATCCCTCCCTACCAACACCCTGTAAAAAACAACAGCAATTAAAATAAATTATTTCATACCAAATAAAGCCTTTAGAATGTTTGTGGCTATGAAAATAGCCGTTTTTAATTTTTTTTGATGAGGTTATTTTTTATTCCAATTTCGGCGTGGTAATTTTTCTTTGGTAAAAGCCTTTGGGTTAGGATCACTATCAAGACTATTAGTTCCTACTATTGGTTGGAAGGTACATTGGTTTCTTATTGTATTGTCATTATAGCCGATATCATGCAAAGATGGGTTATCTTTTCTTCTTCCTATGGCTCGCTGTTGTCCAAAATAGTTTTCTAATGAATCTTGACACAGCCGTTCCGTTAAAACATATTGGACACCACTATTTAAAAGGTATTTAACTAAATCAACAACTGAATGGACAGTGATATTGATACCTTCATATATTTGCCAAGATAAAAACATATTCCTTCGATCAGCCTTAGTGAATTTTCCAGGTCTTTGATCAATAGACAATTTCCAATCTTCAAAATATTTTTAAAAAACTTCAGTCAACCATGTTAGTCTTTCATCACTTATCAAATAAAATGGCTCAGAAAATGGATTTTGCTTTCTAGTGCAATCTACAATATTTTTCACATTGAAACAATCAAAAAAATTATTGAACATTTGACAATACTTAGCAGTTCTAGAGGCTTCAGCTGGACCAAATGTCTTCAAAGCAATGCTAACAGATGAACTGAGTACTTGAGCTGCTAATCTTACATTCATTTTGGAAAATGGGCTTAACCTAATATGTTCTAAGGAAAGATTCGGACAAGTGTGAAAGCCACAGTTTAGATCTTCATAAAATAAATCTGATATGTGATTCCACAAAATGTGACTATCAGTATTCCACATATATCTCCCTTTACCTGAAGCAGAATGAAAAAGGCAATTTCGAGCAGTTTTTATCAAATGTGGAGGATCAGCTATGAAATATATATATCGATCATCATCAGCAAATTTATTTTTGATGCGATAAGTAAATTTAACATTTTTATTATTATCTTGCATCTCCGTCATATGAAAATGCATAGAAAAAAATTTACGATTACATGAGGCACCATCGCTTGTAGTAGCAATTACTTTTAGATTGCATGAAAGCTCTAAAATACTGACAGCTTTCCAAAATAAGGGGAATAACTGAATAGCTTGAATATTTGTTGTAGCAAAGTTTGCAAAACTATATTTAAAAGGGTTTACAATACCTCTGACAAGAAAAATAAGAACATGTGTTGCAATTTCATCAGCCTTATTCAGAGTTGCATAGTTAATATTAGCATCACCAAGGTCAACAAATCCTATAAGATCACCAGAATATTTATCCCATACCAAATTTTCTTGAAATTTCATTTCATCTAATAAAAGTGTAACAAACCGTTCTTGATCAAAAAAATTCTTTACCTTTAAACAATAGCGAATAATCATTGGATGATAAAGTTCATTTACAATTTCATGGTTAAAACCTCTTTGTGGTCGGATATAGTTTTTGTAGTCTCTCAAACGCCTTTGACTTGGTAAAATGACAAATCCAGAATTTGTTTTTTCA